CGTTGGGGGATTTATGTTCACTTGTAATTCAGCGGCTGCAGGTGGTATTTCTGGACGAAGTGCAGGTGGTGGTCGATTCAAGAGCTTCTTGAAGTGGTCGGCCCATCGTTTCCTCTGTTTCTCTTCTTTCCTAATTAAATTTCCTTCTTCATCTTTTATTGGTTTCATCTGTGTTGGTCTCTTCCCTGATAGGAACCTGGTTATTCGATACAATGTTGTCAGGTCTCAGTCTCTCCCACCTGCAGCCTGTTCTGCTTCACTTGCCAGTGTTTCGTAGAAGTGTCTTTTGTCTTTGCGTGCACTCTTCTTCACTTCTTTGTCCAGTGTTTTATACATTGTGCTCCGTTCCTCTTGTCGTTGAGCATCCTTGCACTGGTTTATCTTCTGCTTCACTATCCTCCTCTCCCTGCTCTATCAGCTTCCAGGTATCCGTCGAGATCCATTCCTTATCCTCTTTCTTCTTCCTTCCTAATACGGCTGTGCAGGTTTCTTTCCACATAGCTTTCAAAGACTTCCAGTGTTCTTCCACACAGGTTTCTTCAGGGATGTTGCTCGATGTCTCCCATTTTGTCTTGATGGCTGACTGACGTGAAGATCTCCTTTGTAGTTTCATCCTTCAGTTTCCGAGTGTTGTACTTGAACTGAGGTCTATCACCAGCTTCCTTGAAGGCTTTTAACCTGATATGGAAGGTTCCTTGCACTAGATAGTGGTCTGAACCTACATCTGCTCCTCTTCTTGACCTTGTGTTAAGTAGACTGTGTCTCCATTTTCTTGAGATTGAGATAAAGTCGATTTGATTTTTAGTGTGTCCCGGTGTCTGGTGAAATCCATGTCGCTTTGTGGATATCTTTGTGCCTGAACACACTGCCTGACTCCAATCACCAAATCGTTGAATGTGCAGATTTCCGCAAACAATTCTCCACTCTCATTCGTTTCACCTAGCGCCTCTCGACCCATGGTTAGTTCTCTTCCCGTGTTGTCCCCTCCCAATTTGGCATTCATGTCGCCCATTAGAATTTTGATATCGCCAACTGACGTCTTGTCCAGTGTTGATTGAAGTTGTCTGTAGAATTCCTCCTTTTTCTCTTGCTCTGCATTATTTGTAGGTGCATAACATTGTATGATTGTGACCTTTCTTCCTTTTGAGTTGAATCCATCTTGCTGTCATGATCCTGGAGGAGATTGGTTCCCACTGCATGAGAGCCTTCCATGCTCTTGAGGACATCATGATATCCACTCCATAACTCAGTGTGCTCGTGGTTGTCGTCTGGGTGACAATACCGGAGTAGATTATTGATTCTGCAGTTGACAGTTTGGAGAGTCCACTCCCATTCCATCTGCTTTCGCAAATCCCAAGCACTTCGATGTGATACCTTCTCATCTCCTGTGCACTCTGGGCTGCCTTACTGGGTTCAAACATCGTACGGACATTCCATGTCCCCACGTTTACTTTCTCTTTCATCGAGAGAGGTGAAGACACATAGGCCAATTGGCTTCCCGAAGTCTTTCACCAACTGGCGTCATTTCGCCTCTCCGATTCCAGCGGGGAATAAGTTTGTTTTCATTTTTTATATTTTGTTTGTGCTTTGAAGTTTCTTTAGCGGTTAGATTTGTTTTACGGGGTAGGGTTGCTAGCCCTATGCCCAACCTTCCCTCTTTACCCGGGCTTAGGACCGGCTAGTAACTAGTAAACTAGTTAACCAGGCGAGGTTACCTGATCACTTACCTTAACCGAAAGCTCTAGGATTGTAAGTATAAGCCGAATAAGAAATTTTTCAAGTAATGATCTCCAAAAAGAATCTAGTTTGCCGGTTCAGACTAAAAGAGAACACCAGCATGTAGCAGTCCCCGCTTGTGGCTATGGTTCCGTCGCAAGAGACAGAGACTTTCATTTCAAGCCGGTTAAATGTCCCCCATTTTATAACGTTGGTGTCGTTGCGACCTATTCTTCTCTGGCCAACATTTAGATACTCTTCTTTTTTCGGAGATCGGTGACTCGCGACGTTATTCAAAGTGCACGCAGAGTAGGCGAGACAAAAAATCACAGGATACCCTTAATATAATGGAGCCAACACGACCTCCTGCCTTCATACACGTCCAGAGAATGAATGCCATGCAATTATCACTCTTCTTACCTCGCCTGGTTAACTAGTTCACTAGTTACGAGCCGGTGGTAAGTCCGGATATGGAGGCAGAATTAGGCATAGGGCTAGCAAGCCAACCCCATAAAACAAATTCAATCGCCAAAGAAACTGTAAAGCGAAAACAGAATATAAAACATAAAATTAAACTTAGTCCTCGAAGGGGTCGGAGAGATAAAATGACGCCGGTTGGTGAAAGCCTTCAGGAAGCCAATTGGTCAATGTTTCTCCTCTCGATGAAAGAGAAATTAAACATGGGGACATGGAATGTCCGCACTATGCTTGAACCCAGTAAGGCTGCCCAGATTGCAGAGAAGATGTAGTACTTAAGTGCTAGGAATCACTGGAAGCAGATAGAGTGAAAGTGGAATTTTCCAACTCTAAGCTGGGGAGTCAATAATCTACTCCGATACTGTCAGCCAGATGGCAACCACCAGCACACTGAGTTGACAGTCGGAGTGGCAGACTTCTGTGCATTCGATGATTTTGTGATTGGGGACAATGTGCACAAACACAAGGATATTCACAAAGCGACATGGATTTCACCAGACGCACTAAAAATGAGATCGACTCAATTTCAATCTAAAGAAGGTGGAGACGCAGCCCACCGAATACAAGTTCAGATCAAGAAGACGGGTAGATGTAGGTTCAGATAAAGAACTGTTTAGTGCAAGAAACCTTCAAACTCAAGTTGAATGCCTTCACAAAAGTTGCTGATGATAGACTGCAGTTCAAGCTCAACACCCAGAACAGAAACAGAAGGACGAAACTGCAAAGGACATCTTCACGCTGGTCAGCTATCAAAACAAAACGGGAGACATTCAGCAATACCCCTGCAGGATCGGACGTGGAAGAACACTAGAACTCTGAAAGAAAAGAGGAAAGAAACTTGCAAAGCCATACTAGGAAGGGAGAGGAAACAAGGAAATGAATGGATCTCAAGGGATGCATGGAAGCTGATAGAGCAGGGAGAGGAAGACGGCGAAGCAGAAGACGAACCAGAGCAGTGCAGGGATGGACAACGAAAAGAGGAACTGAGCACAACATATAAAACCCTTCACAGGACAAAAAGGTGAAGAAGAGTGCGCGCAAAGACAAGAGACACATCTAGGACACACTAGCAAGCGAAGCGGAACAGGCTGCAGGTAGGAGAGGCCTGACAACATTACATCAACAACCAGGCCACCATGTGGGAGGAGGTCAACACAGATGAGGAAAATTTAATTACCAAAGAAGAGGAACGAAGGGAACGGTGGACTGATTACTTCAAAAAACTCCTGAATTGACTACCACCACCCGCAACTCGTCCGGGAATACCACCAGTAGCCACGAATTACCAGTGAACGCAAGCCCTCCGAGAAAAGTCGAAGTCCTGAAAGAGGAGCTACCCTGCCAAATTTCCAGATAAGGGCGAGCTAAGCTGCCTTTGCGAGAACTGCCGCGGATTCATGCTCCTATCCATCCCAAACAAAATGTTAAGCCGCACCATCCTGGAGAGATTTTAAAACTCTCTGGATTCAAAATTAAGACCGGGAAACGCTGGCTGGCTTCAGGAAGTACAAATCACGTACTGATCAAATCGCAACGCCATGCATCATCACAGAACAGAGCATAAAGAGGCAGCCAACTCTTTGCTTCACCTAAACTTTATCGATTTCGAAAAGGCTTTCGGCAGCGCAAACCAAGAAGTGACTTGGCAGGCAGCTGCTTAAACACTACGGTTCTAGTGCCGCAAACGTTTATCAACCTCATTCAACAACAAAATGAAGACACCACACGCCATGCTATTCAAAATCGAAAGCTCAGCGATGCCTTTGAATTGAGGACAGAAGTAAGACAAGGCTCCAGCCCACTGCCACCGATCATCTTCCTCATCGCGGTTGAATGGACTGGACCGGATTATGCGACAAACCGTAAGGAGCGAGAACATGAGAATGTGCTATTCGACCCATGAAAAAACCTTACAAGATTTGGATTTCGTCCGTGATGATTTATGTTTGGAGTCTTGTGGCACAGTCTCGAGGATCTACAGGCAAAAACCAACAAGATGACAGAAGAGGTAGCGAAGACGGGGCCTCTATCAGGTGAATTTACAGAAGACAGAGGTGATGAGGATACCCAGTCACCATCGTCAACAACAAGCACCAACCACCGTCAACGGGAGGAACCCTTTTCACCTACCCGCCTAAAGAGCATCGTTTCAACTACAGGCGGCACGTCAAAGCCAGAATCAGGAAGACAGCCCTTCAGCAACCTAAAACCAGTGTGGAGACCTACTGCACTCAGCATAAAGCGTAAACAAGATCCGGATTTTCAAAACCAACGTCAAGTCAATGCTTCTACATTTTTTCCGCAGACATGCAACGAACTTCAACGGTTCAGCTTCGCCTTCCCAACAGATGCCAAGACTTTATGATATGATTCGAATTTTATAACATCCCTTAATAGTATTAAAATGATATAGAAAGATCATAATATGATAGAATGTTTGTGCCATCACCTGCGCAAATCAGATAACACAGTTTTCTGGATGAATCACTGGTAGAACAGCTTTGAATTGTCATAGAGAAAAGTTAAAAGTTCACGTTAATTCAGATAGCACATTTTTTTCGAATTCTACGAAAATTAAAGCATAAATCTAGTCTTTATTGTGTTAAACACTGAGTACTATTACAATGGATTGAAAGAAATGTCTAGAAGATATCATTAACATATTATAACACGAAAAGATTTCCTTCTAACAAAAATCTGAAGATTTATATACACTGTAGATTTTATAAGATAAGGGAATAAAACAGAAGGGAAAGACACAAAAACACAATTTGGAACATTTTTATACACACAGCCAAGCTATTGATTTACGTCTTCTTAGAGCATTCTTGATCCAACTGACGTCTGTTACAAAACCACACACGAACAGACTCCCTATCACAACCAATACGTGATGCTAATGCGCTGAAATCAGATCCTAAACACATAATTATCAATGAGAAAATACAGCGTTATAATATTGAAAATAAACAGGAAAAATCTATTTCACTAAAGATGTTAGGAAGAAACAAAACACATAGAGAAAATGAAAAACATTTATCAAACGAAACACTGATGATGCCAAGTTAGATTGTTTGATACAATGTACGGTAAAATCTTTAAGAAGTTCTTATTTACCTAAAAGGAATTTATTATTAGGCTAATTGAAACGATACAATATCCCTGTTTCAGCTGTAACTTTTAAAAGCTTAGTCAGGCATTACAACTGAATTAAAAGACCATATAAAAAACTACCTAATGTAATCTACAGAGATATAAAGGCAAACAAATAACACAGCAAACCAAGAAAGTTACGAAACTTCCCACACTCAACACTACTGACTAGATAGAGGGTGAACAATGAAGGTGACCAAATGCGTAATAATCACTTTCAACTACAGACAGACAGACAAGTTGGCGCAGATCCTGGCATAGACATGCAATAGTCCAATTTGCCACACTTGATAGCACCAGCCTCGGAGAAAATGGACAGGAAAAGAATGATATTAAGTTAGGTGAGGATGCATGGAAGAGGAGAATAAATAGATGAAGGTTAGTGAAAATAACCAGGAGTTCAAGGATAACAAGGAGTGTTCACATCAGCACCAATAGGATCTATAAAACGACTCCCGATCCTTTCTTTTCTTAAACTCTTACTTTTCATAAGCATTAATGAGGTTAACTGTTTATCTGAATGCGATAAATGGCGTCACTAAACGATCTATTTTCAACAACTTTTACCTAGAATACATATCAATCTGAACATGCATTTCCCAAGCTAAAAAATTTACACTTGTTTTAATCTACTTCATGACTAAGATATAATAATGCTACTGTTTACACATTTATTCGAAAAAGTGCTAACGTTCGGTGGAATTGCTGAGTGGAAAACTTTGAGTCTACTCGCAGAGTGCACAACAAATCAGTCAATGAGTTTTTGAAGGTCTCCCAAATGAAGCGACGATATGGCAATCCACCGCATACGTTAACGCAAATTGCTGGACTAAGTAGGGTGGATTTGAAGAGAAGCAGAGCGTAGCAAGGCAAAAGTATACCTCAGATTGTACATTTCAGTCATGTAGGTGACATAAACCCAATTTATTCGTAATGACTTTCTCTGTTTCATGTATTTAACCCTTTTAATGAACCTGGAGAACTCGATGAGAACACCATTCTCAGGATAAGATGATATCACTTTATTGCACAGGGTTTTCGTCAGTTGCACACAACCTGAACCAATACGTAAATACTCACTATAACGAATATTAACACATCTTAAATGGAGCAGTTTAAGATACCAGGTAGTTTTGAAGATCAGAAGAAAACATTACAATCCAGAACACAAAAGTGGTTTGGGTAGTCAATTCAGTCAAACTAGATACATATTATGTAAAGTAGAGAACGCTCACAAATGAGTGCGGTAAGATTTGAAATAAGTCGAAGCCGTTAAATAATCACGTGAAAATGCTATCATAACAAAATGACAAGTGGGTGACATAAAATTACCGTGATAATAACAACTACGGTAACAATGAATCTATGATCACTATGAATATGGATGGGAATAAGCATACACTAAAGGGCTTATCAGGTGTATTATACACAGTCAAATAGTATTATGTATTGGATTACGCTTCGGACGCAATTTATTGTCGTTAATTGTATCACGATAGCTCCACAAATTCGAGACATGGTTTATATATTTCTAATTCTATTACCTTCCTTGTGGTATAGGTAGTAGGATTTTTCATTCATCTGGAACAGGTGCCGAGTCATTATTGTTCCATGTAATCGGTGTTGGTTTGATAAGTAAACGTAATCCAACTGATAATAATACTGTTTCACTATTTGGTACATCCAGAGTGGGCACGTTTTACTATTGTACTGATAAAGGGATCAACAAATTTTGGAAAAAGATGACGGTGATTCGCAATATCTTGTTCTGATCTCCAAAAAAATAACTGGTATTTTAAGACGCTCCAGTTAAGGTATGTTAATATTTGTTATAGTGATTATTTACTTATTTATTCAGATAGCACGCAGTTGACGGAAATCCTATGGAATAAAATGATGTCGACTTAGTCTGCAGATGATATTCCCCTTGTGTTGTTGCGAAGAGTGAAAACCAGAACTGATTCGTTAGTGGGCAAAGTTCTCTGTCATTTTACCAGCCTGTCGCCAATGAAATTAAAGTAATAAATAAAGAAAAATAAGTTTTTCTTCGCATATTCGAACTAAAATATGCGCTAAGAACACAATCAGAACCATTTTTACCATTATCCTAAGCGAAAAGAAAAATCTATCTTTGTATAGAAGCATAATGATCAGCAGTGAAATGTAATAGAGTGGAAATACCTTGATTTATGGTTGCCATTTGACATGAAACTAGTAACTTAAGTGATGCTATACGACATCAAAGGTGACTACTTAGTTGCGAAAAGTTTTTGTTTCTTCTTGTTCTCCTAGGTTTTTTACAGAATGCTTTCTACATTATTCCTTAGATCCATTAGAAGTCAGTCAAATCTGAACCGTTCCAATTTCCTATTTTTCACATACTAAAATTTCTTTGAACTTGACAGCTACGTGAAGATTGTGGGTATGTGCGTGTGTGACTGGCAATACTTCTGAAACACCGCTTGCATCTGGTGAACCCCTAGGAACCAAAATGTTGATGTCACATGCAGAGTTCAGACGTTGAACTCCATTGACGGGGATAGTCAGGACAGTTACTGCGTACGCCCAACCACCGCATGTTTTAACATGCTGTCCTAACTGTAGCGTATGTGTGCTAGGAAAAGCAACCAACTAGATAAAACAGGACACAGTTCTAATCTATGAAAAAGTTTTTAGTTGATGTTTTGAGCGATGTACAGAAGTATGAACTTTTTGGGTGGAGCTCAATAAAGGAAAGAAACTCATGGTTCTGAATTGCATGACGTATGGCTTATGACGATTTATAGCGTTGCATAAGCTTGTGCACCTCATCCTTTGTCAAATCCTGAACATTTCACTATCCAGTAAGCAGTTATCATAACATGTTCATTGCACTTCAATTATAGATATCCAATACAATAAACATCATCTACTGTCTGTTGTTTCATTTCCACATGCTGCGCTGATGTGAAGTGTAACAACTTGAACTCATTAAGGTACTATCATCACCTACTGCATATCGATTTATATATCCTTTTCACAATAAAAATTAATGAAGTACTGTAGGTTAGGGAAGGATGAACATCTAAGGAATGCCCACGAAACCTCATTTCATACTTTTGCAGGAGAAACTGGTTCGAAGAAAAATTAGACCATTAAACTTTATTTATACGGATATTTATCTTCAATAGAGTGTATCAAATATTTCGACTGTTTAGCATCCAAAGATGTTTTAATCAATTAACATTTTCACTATGGGCTACTCCAAGCAACATAAATCAATCTCATCAACTGTCCCCATAAGAATCCCCTGCAAAAAGAGTGTTAGAGCAAACACAATATCTTGATACACGATTATGTAATAAGAGAAAATAAACTCAACAAAAGTAAACTAGCAAAGAAGACATATACACTAGTAGGTTATTTTTAAGGTAGGCTTTATCACCTAAATGATTAGTGTATAAGTGAAGAAATTGGGCACTGTGGTAGAATGTAACTCCATATCAGATTTGTCTATTTGATATTTGTTCTTAATGTTAAAAAATTCGGTTCTACAATTTCAGTAAGTAGTATCACAGGGAAGGAAATTTCCACCTTTTAAGTTGTTATTTCCTGTTTCCCAGCAGCATCAATTAAAAGCAGTCACAACTAAAAACTGCTAAGCAAACGAATAACATTTCAAAACGCACAAGAAACAAAGAGTATTGTAAGATCTTACAGCATACTGCGAAGATCTAATATTACCACCTTCAAAACGGGATACTGGAAAAAAACTAACACGAAGGAAAACGACTAAGGTTGATAACAAGAGAAAGATATCTGAACGGAGAAAGTGTAATTATCACTTAGTGTGCTTGAAATGTTCCCAGTGTACAACAAGCCTAAGTGAAATTAAAATCAATGGCAGGTCATTTTGTTACTGCTTCTTCTTAATTTCACGAATTACTACCATGATTTCTATAATTACTCTTGAGGCATGTTTCAGAGAAATCAAGGACAGCAGAATATGAAACCGTCTAGAAATACAGTTAGCGCACGAACCACAGAACGCAGCATGAGGAAGAAATAAAATAACGAAAAAATAGTACACCCAGTACATGATTGAAATGAGCATACCTTTAGGTCGAGGATTCCTAGCATAAAACTCAGTTAATACAGACAAGGCTTCTGTTGAAAAATAAGTACGCCGACGACGCCTTCGTTTCTGCTTTGGATCTGCCAGTTTACATCCTGATTCAGAAATATCTGAGTCTAAACTCTCAGAAATTGAAAGACTGTTGTTAATACTCTCATTGTTTTTAGCCTGAGTAAAAAAAGCGAGGGATGTAATTAATAGTAGGAAGCTAGTGTTCAAATAGGATTAACTAAATGCAATTGATGAAGATTTTGAACAAAAACGGCGAATAATTATTTCACTACATGAGGTAAATTTTGTAAGGTAAACTGATTTTAACAGAATGAGATGACGACTGAATTTGAAAGAAAATCTGTGGAGCGACGACATTCAAACCACTGATCTGTTTGCATACCAAGAATATCGATCAGCGTTATCTGAACCAAAATGCAGTAATATAAAGACGACTTCAAATCAGACACTCAGTAAATCGGTTTGGAAGGGGGACATTGTATACACAGTTGCTACGGAGCACCAAGGTCTGTAAAATGGACATTATTTATTTAAGGAGGAGTATGTGATCGCCGAACACAAAGCAATAAGGTATACCTATTGAAAATGAAAAAGCATTTGTCTACTATAGATCCAAACTGCTAAGGTTAGTGGATAAATTGCGTTTATAACGTTAAAATCCCTACTCATGAAAACATACTTTCAGTCTTAAAGAACAAATACGGAAAATTGTGATACCATAACAAAAGTCAAGTTGCCTTTTCGAACAGTAAGACTATTGCAGTTTAGTAGTCTTAATTATCCAGTAAAAGGAATAGAACGGGGGTAACAAGACTCAAAAATGTAAACAGCTTATTATCCTGCTTCGATAAAACATTACTTATACACTAAACAGTAGAGCAAACTTATTGCATAAGAATCAGGATACCAAAATCCATTTGCCCTAGCCCAAAAAGACTAAGTGAGTTGTGAACTAGTGAGTTTGAAAATTAACAGTCTAGACTCATTTGTCGCAGTTCCAATAGAAGTTATGACGACTATTTGCAGCTCGGGTTGTTGATGCTCAGACTGAGTTGTTCTCTGAGTTGAAGTTTTATTTGGCAAACGTTTCAGTGTCATGCAAGACATCGTCATCAATGCACTAGAGATACACAAGGGTGTGAAGCAATTAACTTTGCATGGGTATTTTTAACGTGCTACTTTGCTTAAGTGTGATTTGACTGCTCGGTTGACAAGTGCGCGCGCATGTGCCACACCTGATTAGTTAACTACTTCCTACCACTAGTTTTCCCAGAGGGGTGTACAATTATATGATTGCTTGGTTTCTTTTGTTTGTTTGCAGAACGTTGATGTTGCTTCGTTGTGATTGATGCACCAGTTTTGTCTGACTGGATTGATGCAGGTTGTCTTGAACTGATTGGCTTACCCATATTTACTGGAGGGTGGTCTATGCTGATTGGTTGATTTGCTCCAACTGGAGCAGCGTGATCTTATTGGAATTCCTATCATTTATTCTTATATCTCTCCATTGATTTGAAAGCATTTGAGTGAGGAAATAGCTATCAAGTTTATTATTTGCGATAGTTAGACACTGGTATGAACTCATAGACCGTCGTCATTTCGAAGTATGTTTGGTTCAGTTTCTCGTGTTGGCTTATAATCTGTCGATGCAGAAAGGGCTTTCATATCGAAGTAGATCATTGTTTCGTCTTTGCACCTTTCGATATTTTTGATTATGTCTACCAACTGAGGTGATTAATTTTTTGAAAAGGTGGCTCAGCTCTTTTTGCTAAGTACTTTGATCGATTGTGTTGGGGTTCCTGGAAGAGAAACAGTTGGTTGAAGAGGTACATCTGGTTTATGGATCTTAAATTTTCCGTATAATCGTAGAAGTATGGGTCCGTTTGATATCATTCTCCATTTATATACTTTGATGATTCGACTTTTTTTGATGATAAGCTGCCCACCCCAGAATAGTGATTTAGTTCGCAAGGACGAAAAGACACTGAAATCGTTCAAAGATGACAAAGATATTGTAATTCTACCAACAGATAGAGGATTAAAAACAGTAAACATAACGGAATATATTAGAAAGGCAACTGAGTTATTACAGGAAGGAAATGACTACAAAAAACTAGAATTCAATACACACAGTCAACCACACGTTCAGCTGGGACAACTTCAAAACACTCGAATGTACAAACTCAAAAGCAAACCGAAAACGTTTCGGAAGCATGACATTCAAGCAAATCAACAATAAATGGCCACATCGATCTGGACGTAATATACGAGCCCATTCAAAACAAACCATTACAGGAATCAACCCAACCAAACACCAGGATACCCTCGACACAAACAAGAATGCAATCGTCACTTAGTTAGATAAAGACAACTCATGTACAACTCACCAAACTCCTGTACTTAAGCAATCAATACAAAAAGAATCCCTCTTCAGCAGAATCCAACCAACCAGTAGCAGTGAAGAACGTTCCTCCAGTTGGAGCAAATCAACCAATCAGCATAGACCACCCTCCAGTAAATATGGGTAAGCCAATCAGTTCAAGACAACCTGCATCAATCCAGTCAGACAAAACTGGTGCATCAATCACAACGAAGCAACATCAACGTTCTGCAAACAAACAAAAGAAACCAAGCAATCATATAATTGTACACCCCTCTGGGAAAACTAGTGGTAGGAAGTAGTTAACTAATCAGGTGTGGCACATGCGCGCGCACTTGTCAACCGAGCAGTCAAATCACACTTAAGCAAAGTAGCACGTTAAAAATACCCATGCAAAGTTAATTGCTTCACACCCTTGTGTATCTCTAGTGCATTGATGACGATGTCTTGCATGACACTGAAACGTTTGTCAATTAAAGCCCTAGTTCAACGAATAATTTAACTATAGTAACAATAAAAGCTTTCCGCTCTAGAGAAGGTAGTGTTATCCCACTTAAAAAATTTATCTGATCATCATAGAGTAGAAAAAAATTTTTTCTAAATATTAGATCCGCTAAAAGTTACTGAGTTGGTTTCATTTTCCGTAGCAAGCTAACCATATTCTGCCCCTGAATAGAAATGAAACTGCAGATTATTGACACTTGTTACTGTACGAAAATCGATCATAAGGATGAAATCAGGGTTCTGTGTACTGCTGTTCAATCAAAGAAAAGTCAATTTCACATGTCAATAATATATACATATTTCGATAGCATCCCAAATGTACGATATTGCTTAAAATGCATACATACGAAGCGAAAGCAACTGATCACATAACGAACACAATAAAGTTAACTTGTTTTTCAAAACTAGGAGATATTATGCATGGGAAAACCGAAATGTATAATCTATTATCACAAGACCTTTCAAGCATGGTATACAGACTAAGCACTATTACAGCGCACACATACACATACAGAAAGTTGGATGGAACTCACTGCTAGAACATACAATTGCGGATGAAGTAAAACACTATTTTCATGCCAATAAGAGCTTAATTTATCCCTAAACATGGATAAAACCAAGAACCATGCGACTGTGAAATAAGTCAAAATTATACCGTATCAACAAAAAAACATTACTTGTTTCGTCACGAGGGCCAAAACAGACGCAGTTGAAGATGCATCATCACGACACTGTCCTAAACGAGCCAATGTCTTAGCCCGAGCATTGCCTACAGCACGCACAGGAACAGAGTGCTGAAAGACAGACAACTTCTCCAAAGCGATGCTACTGCATCGTTTTTGTTCAGCATGAGACACCCAACGCTTTAGATACGGTAAAAGTCTATAAGCTGATCTAACAGTAATCCTAAGCTTCTCAAATCTGAAAACAAATAACCGACAGAAAATTACGGTGTAAATATAGTTGCATGAACAGATTATACAAGAATGGAATAGATTGTAAAAATGAGGAAAATACCCTAAAAAATTATGGTAATCAGTCAAAGGAATATACAGTCCAATGAATAAAGAATTCCATCCTATTCAAAGTTTCTGCCACTACCCTGGAATAATGAAAAAAGTAATATAAGTAACAAAAAGCTTCACCAAACAAAATAAAGGTTTATCCATTTAAACAATGGACTGAGCCTCTGTTATCGTACTAACAAATAAGACCAGTGTTCATCGATACTTGTATGTCTTAATAAAACTGGTTGTTTCATATATTAGAAATTTTGGAAGCCTTATCATATCATCAGCAAACTGGTAGCCACAAATCAAGAATGGAAAACGCAGAGAAAGTCACTTATTAAGTGTCATGTGCAATAATCGAATGGCAACAAAGCACAAAGTATAATCACCAACAGATTGAGTTATATCTTACGTTTGAGGTTAGGTAAAATGCCAGCTGGTGTAGCAGCGTTTAAACTCGTGATTTCACGTTCAAAAATTTCGCAACCAGTGCGTCACAGTAAACTTATGATTTATAACGCACAAAACTTTTTCTAACTCGAAAACTTACGTCTAATATTTATAACTCAGTCCGATGAAGTTATGATGCAAATAAAATCAGCATAAAACCCCGAACAAAGTAAAATAAGAAGAAAAAGCGGATAAGAGAGACTGATATCAAAGTAGACAGTGTTCACGAAAAAATAAGCAATTTGAAGACAATGGTTGGTAGAAATATTCAGGTTTTAGAAGACGTAAAAGAGTGAATGCGTGTACTCCATTGTGGTCGCTTCTCAGCCACTTCACCCAGAGTCCTGAACCACTGACTCATATCGTCTCGGGGCCCCCCAGTAAGACAGTCTACCATACCTAAACGACTCATACCAACCAGTCAGGCTTTTCGTAGACTGGTGCTACTAATCAGTCTGATCACTTTCCCGACTTAATCCAACTTCTGCTATCATTGCACGTCAAGACGTGAACTAAAAATTTGTGTTGCCTAGATTAATTCGGCAGCTAGGTTCTTAATAAAGATGAATAGTTCAAATAAGTAGTAGAGATACTACAAATTTTACGCTCAAATTTCCAAATATTTCCAGACTGAATACTGGTTATTGTGTAATAATGATGTTATGCAAATCCGAATACTTGAAAAGACATACTGGTTGAAATCAATGCAGAAAGCAACAAATGATAACCACATGATACAAACTGTGCACAAACCAGTGAATATCGGTTGCTAGTGAGAAATCATAGTCAACCTAGACTGTTCATCCGACCCAAAAATTATCAAAAAAAAACAAAATAAATACATTTTCTAATGAGCCTTAGGAATGCAGTATGTAAAATCTACAGGCAGAAAGGTGAGCAAAACAACAGAGTTGACACCATAATGCCATCATCTGAGATACAACACTTCACAAACATAGGATAACGTCACGACATATACCAAAAGAAAAGCAGCAACAAATGGAATGATGAGTGGTTCAGTAAGGAGGCTCTTTCGGCGAATTCATTCATTTAGCTCTGCAATCACATTTATATACAACTTCTTTTGGGTGAAAATTCACAACTTGTTTCATGTGTGAAGGTGGTTTGTTAGGCACGGTAACAAGGTGACACATATATAAACTGGAAAAATGTTTCTGAATATTGAAAGCAAGGTTGCTTAGATAGGTGAATTTTGTTCAAGATGTCATAGAGATTAAGTAAACACGATGAGGTTTGGATAACGATTTCAATAACATGACAAAATATTAATGAACGAGTTGTAATCAGAGTGGGTATAGAGATAAGAAGTAGTTAACAGTTTGAATAGAGAGAGGAGTTAAAAGGAGGAGGGCGGAAAACGCTTTAAAAGAAAACATTGGAGGTTAGGACTAAGAAAGAAGCAAGTGTTGAACAAATCTCTTTTGTACGTAAAGCTCCGACGTTTCTATTTGGATTGCTAAAGCTTCAACAATACAAAGGAGGTGGGTGCGCATCGACTTTGGTAATTTTCTTGTCACTTTGTAAATAACTTTGAAATAGGTGGTTGCCTAAATTTAGTGGCCAGTCTTTACTAGGTGTTTCGCTATCTCACTTCTTACAGATTCATTGTTACCTCTTTCTTTCAACCCAGGATAGTGCTCTTCAACGCTTTTGGACAGGGCCCACATAGAACGACTAATGTACCCCCCTCCGCAAGAACAGGTTAACTGATATACACTCATGGAGGCGGCCAGTTCTTGTCTTCCGGGCTTCTGTTGAGTAAAGGGGGACTAGAGAACACTAATCCGGGAGTTGCTGCAAAGAAAGTCGCTTCAGGGAACTTGAAATCTTTTCCTCTAGGACTTCAGCAACTAGATCACCTTTGAAGTCGAGGTTCATACTCAGTGTCCTTTTCGATACGGAAACTGAATCATTTTTTTGCGGTTTTGTTTTGAAACTTTTATCTATGAACCGAGGAGGATATCCGTTTTCGATCAAATTCTTCCTCAAATTGCTCATCTCTTCATCTATAGCATCTAGGCTGCAAATGTGTCGGATGCTAGTAGCAAGGGATATAATTATATTCCTCTTCCGACTAATGGATACTGAGCTGTAGAAATTTGTCAGTTGCCCATTCTATGTGAGCTCTCTGTGAATTGGCCTCAAAGTTCCATCAGTCTTTTTCGGTAGTTCCACACCAAGAAAGGAAATTTTGATGCCTTTTCCACTTCGATGGTGAATTTTATCGACGGAAGGCAGCTGTTCAATAAATGCAAAACATCATTTAAATCACATATATTATACAGCTGAAAATCTTTGATTGTTGACTGCGAACGATCACTTTCGAGACTTGCCATGAAGCTATCTGCTAGTAATGATCCCAAAAGGGATCCCATGGCAATTCCGTCTTCCTATCTATCTATACTGAGTCGTTGAAAGTAAATTGTACATTGAGAGTGCATCTTAATAGTAATTTCTTTGAATGAACGGTTTGTATTCTAACGTTAAAGTTGTTGTCACCTATGCAACTACATATGAAAAAAATAGTTTCCTTTAGTGGAACACTGGTGAAAAATGATTCGACATCCAGTGATATTATACGTTTGTGTAAAATATTGGTATTTTTTTAATGCAGTTGATGAATTCAAAGGTATCCCAAAGACAGTAAATAAGAATATTTCTCCTCACAGGTTCTAGAATATCAGCTAACCATTTTGCGGTTGGATGATAAAGAGATCTAGACATGTCTACAATTGAATGAAGTGGAAGGCCGGCTTTGTGTATTTTTGGCGAACCTGTTGGTCTAACACTCATAAAGACCGCTAACTGAATGATTATTTTTTCAATCTTTTCAGCACATCTGTTAACTGCTTTCCAATTAATTCTATTCTATTTTTTCCGTTAGTCGGCTTAGAAAATTTTCTGTTGTCTGAGAGTAGATTTGACATTTTCTCGATGTAATCCTTTCGATCCATGACAACTATGTCTGTACCTTTGTCACGACATGTTACTAGTAATTCCTTGTTACATCTTGGTTGCTTAAGTTATTCACGATGTTGTTTTGTTAAAAGATTATTATGTTTTGATTTCATATTCAAATACTAGTGTCAATAGTCAAGAGTGATTGATTCGAAGTGTGGAGCTCTTGATCAGAAACCAGGATAAGTTTGGCTGATTAGACTTTCGAATTGTACACTTGTATGAGGCTTGTTGACATTTATATCCCAGTATTTAGGGCCGATGGATAAAGCTTCCAACTATAAGGCGGATAAGGATACTAAAAAGTGATTAAATACGAATCTTGTAGGATCGTCGTGAAATTTACGATCAGATTCAGTGGATTTTAGGGTTTCGGATAGCTTAGGTTTAACGTATAGTGCTCGCTTATCAGTGACTGTGGTAACGTATTCGATAAACATTTGATATTCACTCGATGATAAATCATAGAGCCCTGGAGATTTTTGGGAAATATTTCGCTTCAATTCTGTAATGTGTAGACGAAGTCAATGTGATTCAATGTATAAGGTATAGGAGACACTGAATTAGGATATATGGTTTTTTAAAGCACCTTCTAAAACCACTTTGGATATTCAGGTTTTTATATGCACTCTTCTAAAAAGCAAATCACATTCACCACAACGAGCATGACAGAAAAACGCGATGATAGAACACCTAGTAAAGAATCGCCACTAAATTTAGGCAACCACCTAGGTGGTTGGGCAACTGACAAATTTCTACAGCTCAGTATCCATTAGTCGGAAGAGGAATATAATTATATCCCTTGCTACTAGCATCCGACACATTTGCAGCCTAGATGCTATAGATGAAGAGATGAGCAATTTGAGGAAGAATTTGATCGAAAACGGATATCCTCCTCGGTTCATAGATAAAAGTTTCAAAACAAAACCGCAAAAAAATGATTCAGTTTCCGTATCGAAAAGGACACTGAGTATGAACCTCGACTTCAAAGGTGATCTAGTTGCTGAAGTCCTAGAGGAAAAGATTTCAAGTTCCCTGAAGCGACTTTCTTTGCAGCAACTCCCGGATTAGTGTTCTCTAGTCCCCCTTTACTCAACAGAAGCCCGGAAGACAAGAACTGGCCGCCTCCATGAGTGTATATCAGTTAACCTGTTCTTGCGGAGGGGGGTACATTAGTCGTTCTATGTGGGCCCTGTCCAAAAGCGTTGAAGAGCACTATCCTGGGTTGAAAGAAAGAGGTAACAATGAATCTGTAAGAAGTGAGATAGCGAAACACCTAGTAAAGACTGGCCACTAAATTTAGGCAACCACCTATTTCAAAGTTATTTACAAAGTGACAAGAAAATTACCAAAGTCGATGCGCACCCACCTCCTTTGTATTGTTGAAGCTTTAGCAATCCAAATAGAAACGTCGGAGCTTTACGTACAAAAGAGATTTGTTCAACACTTGCTTCTTTCTTAGTCCTAACCTCCAATGTTTTCTTTTAAAGCGTTTTCCGCCCTCCTCCTTTTAACTCCTCTCTCTATTCAAACTGTTAACTACTTCTTATCTCTATACCCACTCTGATTACAACTCGTTCATTAATATTTTGTCATGTTATTGAAATCGTTATCCAAACCTCATCGTGTTTACTTAATCTCTATGACATCTTGAACAAAATTCACCTATCTAAGCAACCTTGCTTTCAATATTCAGAAACATTTTTCCAGTTTATATATGTGTCACCTTGTTACCGTGCCTAACAAACCACCTTCACACATGAAACAAGTTGTGAATTTTCACCCAAAAGAAGTTGTATATAAATGTGATTGCAGAGCTAAATGAATGAATTCGCCGAAAGAGCCTCCTCACTTAACCACTTATATTATCATTTTCTCATATGTCTATATAGGGATTTTCGGAGAAATGGAATGATAACACCATAAAGTTAGGGAGCAGACAAAAAAGGTCAAAAGATAATAACGGAATGAGATGAAGAATAACCTAATGACTATAATACATGGCGGTGCAAGAAAAACTAGTGTATCTCCACCATATCATGTAAAACCTTCAACATTAGAATTCTGCTGCATCTTAAATCTCACCTGGCAGGCATTAATTCTATAAGTGCTAACACGTCCAAAATTAGTAGTCAAAGAATGCATCTATCAGAAGCATCTTTTAATAATGTTATTGCTTGTATTATACTGTCGTTGATTGAACTGAATTTATTGGTCACTATTGGCCTATGGGCTTCTGTGCGGATGACTCGATATTGCCTGTGTTTTTAATCATATAGTAATGGTGTGTCCCGAGTTCAAATCCAGGTGGGGACAACACTCACTGGTACATCCAGCTGACAAGTCCCAAACAGGACGAAATGCACATCCTGGATTCCACTGCTAGCCACTATCCAATCATTACCATCTTTTTTGATCTTACCTTTATTCTATCTTAAAATAGTTGTTTTGGTAGGGTTTTATTTATAAACAGAAAGAAGAATCTTGATAATTCTTGAGACCAAAATTGCTTGACATTTTTTGAAAATGATAACGTGTTGCTGAAAGTTCTGACAAACACAACTAGCAACGAGTAAACCACAGTATAATCAAGAGTATATGAATGGTTTCTACACCACAAAAATTGTTTCCTACCTTTTAAGTTACTGTATACTGACACTTCGAAAAACTACTGTTTTTATCAATAAATCCCTACTGTGTCAACGCGACACGCAAGTCTAAACATCATGTCTAAATAACAACCACGACCAGCTAGTGCAGAATCAACACACTTATTTGTCGATATTGAAAATTCTAGATTTGTGGACAGTCTCATATTACAAAATAAGTTTCATTCACTCATCCACTTAGTTCATTGATATCAAACATGGCTGTTATAACTGCAAAAGGAGTGTGGATCTACGTACTAACTAGTAAAATGATGTGTAATTAATTTGACACTAGATTGGATGGTTGAATTTGTTATGTGGCCAACGATTTACATGATGTTGATTCCCTATGGCTAGCCGATAATATACCACGACCCTGCCGAATGAAAACAAAATAAATTTCTATCAACAAATGTTAGGCTGTACTTTCTGTCCGATCTAACCGTATCCAATTTTTTAAAGACATTTATTTGCCAATCTGAAAGCAATCAGGTTAACAAAAGCCATGAGTTTAGCAGTAAGATAACAACAAAAAATCTTACGAGAGAAAACAGAACGAATATGCTGTCACATTGTTGTCCGACTGACCTCGATAAAAGTGTCTGGCTGAACATAGCACGGTTGTTATAGTGTTTTGCCAGTTCGGTACTCAACTGCACTTGTGATAGACCTGAACTTAATCGAAACTGTCGCAAGTGTTTCACAAAGCGCTCCAGTTCAGATAAATTATGCCCCTGAACGACAATTTCTTGATCTCCAGAGGTATTCATCCGACTCTTCATTTTGTGCATAAGTTCAGAAACTGGAAAGAACAAGAAACACCAATAACGACAAAAACAATTAGATAAACTGATGAAAAATACTTAGCACTATGACACTGCCAACATTTATAAACCTATACATATTTACCTATCAGAAGAATTATCGTGAGTTTATGACATCTGTAGTGAGGACCAACAACAATAATAACAATTATAAAAGTAGTATACTAATTAATGATAATAAAGTGACTAATGCAACCACCAACAGTAAGTGGCAGATCAACGTCCATGGATCAAGTAGTGAAATGTAGACAAGAAACGAATTAACATGATATTGAGAAAAACTTTATTTGTTGTTACTTATTTAGAGTCAGTCAGCCCGAAGGCATCAGCTCTAACGAATTTCAACACTTATTACCAAGATGTATCCATATCCGTGAGGAATTCCCTGTCAGTCAATTCTAATATTAAATAAAGAACTTTGCCACTAGGCATTTCAAACCTTAAGTGATCCTTTGAGTAAACGATTTATATCACTGAATCGGTTGCATTCTGAATAGTTTAGCAGTAATGCCTTCCTCTGATTTCGGAATTGAATAATTCAGGTTCGACAATGAGTTGCATAAAGGTTAAAAATATACCAACTGATTGATGCCAGATGTGAGCCCAACTTTCAATATCTAACACTAAATAGAAGTGGCTATCACTTTGAAAATCACTAAAAGAATAATTAAGAAATAGCAATTTGAACATAAGCTTACAAAGTAATGAGCATATCTCAATGTGGGTTGGAAAATTATTTATAAAAAGGAAATTATTCATTATTTTTACACACTTTTTGAATATACCTTTTGATTTTCAATAAAACTTGAGTAATTCTGATGGCTATGGTTTACATAGCGAAAGATTCCAAAAATTTGTATTTGTATATGTTTTTAACACGTTAGGATCATAATTTATTTAAAAAGAAGACTGATTGAGCGAAGAAATATATTCCTTTTCAATTTGGTCTTCGTCTTGGGCTCTACATTAATATTACAGGTTTACAATTCAATCAAAATACCCATCAAGTGGTGGAGAATTAGTGAATAATAATTATAGATTTTAAGTAAGTCATGAAGATCATAGGTTTTAGAAATTAAGACACGAATAATCAGTGGGGTAAGTAAAAGTAGTAATATGAAGCAGGTTATTCTCAGGTAAATGGAGTGATTTTTGATGAGTGTTCAGTCATGAGCAATAAATAATTTCATAATGATAAGAAAACAAATGAATATTGATAGAAACAAGAGGAGGAAGTTATATCATGTTGACGGCCACGGTAATGAAAACGGTCGAACAAACTTCTTTTGAATAAAAAGGTTAGGTTTGTAAAGGTGGATTGTAATTGCCTCTGCTATGTAAAGTAGGCGAATGCGTAATCCATATGGTAGATTAGTTGGTATGTGATGAACCATTTTGAATGCTTTTCTAGTATCTACTTGATGTCTCATGTCAACTAAGTGTGCAAGTATAGAGCTCTTTATTGTTCGAATTTGTCCCTTGCTCAACCATGATGGGCGGTGCTCAAGAATTCGACAATGGACCTGTTTCATTGTACACCCAATGTAACTAGATCCACAGGAGCAGTTGAATTGGTAAGTGCACATGGAAGTGGCAGAATCAGGCAGTTTGCCTCTATTCCTTGCACATAGAACCGAGCGGTTGTAGAAGATGGGGAATAATTTAACGGCTGGGAATGCTTTTTGCAAGACTCTTTTATGCGTTGTGTCAATGTCATTCTTAAATTTCAGCTTCAAGAAGATTTGCTTCTTAGGAACTGTTGGCATTCTTGTCTTAACCCTCTTAACATTCATATGCTTAGTTACGAACTTTGCTAGATAGCCATTCCTACTACGCAGGTCACGGATGGTGGCGAACTCTACCGTTATAGCATCATTTAGGCAAATAGCTGTGGCGCGGTATGCTAGACATTTCACCAGGTTCCTTTCGTATTGGAGGGGTACGGCGCTAAAGAAGTGCGTGTACTGGCGTATCGCTGTTCGCTTTCTATATAGACTTCGTTTCAGAGTTCCATCTAACCTTCTTACCAGTAGAACGTGAAGAAATGAGATACCGTCATTTTTCTCCTCTTCCATTGTGAAATTGATTGCCGAAAGAACGCTATCGAACTTACTGAGAACAGCATTCTTGTCAATCTCACTTTCGAGAACTATAAAGGTATCATCCATGCAACGACAATATAGTTCTAAACGGCTAATAGTTTTGTTCAGTGAACCATTCTCTAGTTTTGCCAGAAAAAATCTGCTAAGAGCGGGTCAAGGGGTGACCCCATAGCTACACCACCAAACTGCCTGTAGAGTTCATTGTTTAAAAGGAATTGTGCGTTCACCGTGCACTTCAGAAGTAGTTCTTTTAATGTGGAAACTGGAATACCTATTTTCATGCCATGCTTAGAAAGTCCGTTGCAAATAAAGTCTACTGTCTCTACTGAAGGAATATTAGTAAAAAAAGATAAAACACTACACGATATCACTGACCTATTATCTACTTTCAGATCCTCAATCTTTTCAACAAATTCAAGGGTATCTTTGAGACTATACTTTACAACTTCTTTGTGGACAGGCTTCAAGAGTTGTACTAACCATTTTGCGATTATATGATACAGAGAATTTGCGATGTCAAGATCTGGTCGGAGATGTAGACTGTTTTTATGCAGTTTTGGTAGACCATAAAGTCTAGGTGTAACAGTTCCAGTACGTATGAACACCTCATAGATTCTTTCTGAAACGAAACCCTGTTGTTTCATCTTTTTCAGGGGTTTTGTTAGATGCCTCTCTGTTTTCCTGTCATATCACCACAAGTGACTAATTTCCGAAATTTACTCACATCACTAAGTAAAGGATTCATTTTGTCTATGTAGTCTTTTTTATACATCAGGACTATTGCTATATATAAGTGTAGAACCCAAGATGAAAGACCTAAATGGAAAGGAATATACTTCTTCGCTCCATCAGTCTGTTTTGTAAATATCTAAATTGGAATATTTAATATGTTTTAAATAATTATTTGGAGGGTGATTGTATAGGATTTGGAGGTGAAATGTTTGTCATGCACTCACAACACTTATGGTTAGAATACTGGTAAAATGAATTCATTTTATTTCATAGCTTTTAATTATCCGAAAACATCTTTTAATGATTTACTAAAAATAATGATAATTATTATTATATAGTACAGTCTCAATACTCTAAAAGACACTGTATGTCTAAATCAAAGTACATAAAAGGAAGAGATAATAAACTTTTTCTTCTCTCAGTAATTGTAGGTTGTTTTGACTGCATAATTTCCTTTTCGAACCCACAAGTTTCTAAACACTGTAATTTAGATGCTTTTACAACTGATCAAGCAATTATGTAACTGAATATTGTTTACTAAATTCTTTTCTATGACCCGTTTGATCTGACTCTTTATAACTGTTATGAGTTCCAACTAAGATTCATGACTCTTGTTTTGCATATTTATTCGATCCAGAAATTTTATTGCCATCCTCAGGTTTAGAATGTTCATTTCCTTAGGAATATATAAAGTATCATTGAATATTTCTACCCAAATTCTAGATACTTGTAGATCGTGAGAAGTAATGAAATTAATTGACTTGTTCTTTATTTATTCAAAATTAAAAACGGAAGCAAACAAATGAAGTTGTAAGATTATTGTAAAGCACATTATTAAGTGTAAAAATCGAATCTTGAATTACCAATTTGTCCTAAAACATTTGACCTCGTCTTAGATGATGGTGGACTACCGAGCTCCTTTTTATTGAGGTTAGTTGCAGTGCTTTCATCACAATGTGAACGAGTGACAGTAGCATCGACTGGATGTTCTGAACATGGTTTAATCAATGATGTAGATGACGACGGAAATGGTATGTTAAGCGCGTTCTGATATGCAAAGGTTTCAGCATGATAAACACTTGTACAATCTAGAGCAGAAGGTTGTGCATCCAAATCAGTATGCCCAAAATTAGGAGGTGCATTTAAATCAAGCAAATTAGAACAACCATTTGCTGAAACTGGCGGTAAACACTCTTCTTGACTTGTAAAACTTTTATCTAAGCATAAATTAGTCGGTATATCCGATGTATCTTGTGGGGATTTAATGGATGGAAGTTTTTTAAGAATATAACTTCCATTGGAATTTTCAACAAAGAAGTTGGCTAAAATCAGATGACCTACAGTTCAAAAAATTGCACAGAGAAAGAAAAAGAGACACTTTAGTGTAGAAGGAATGCATCGTTTATACAGAGAAATATACATTCAGCACAATACTCGTTCGTAAATAGACTATGCAGAATAGCACAGCATAGGCATTTATTTTTAAAAGATCTTAGTAAATACATAAGAAGAGACTAAGAGTAAGATGTTATTCGGTGTAAAATAAGATAAAAACATGCGATTTTGCAGCGTGAACGATGATCGATTGCAGAAGCAAATGAAAGAAATGGTGGTTACGGTTGATAAAAGGCATAATATTTAAGAAACTCACAAAATAAACTCTAAGATACTTCTAACAGTAAGTTTAAGTAAAAGGAAAAAATGGATGAATCTCCATGATGAATATTTGTCAATTTAGTCATAACTTTTTATATAACTCTGTTCGGTCAGTAGTAAAGGCTACTTATCCAACATTCAGTTGAAAAAAGAAGTCTATTCAATAGCCCTGCGACGAGTCCATGATACTACTCCACGAATAAAGTATTATAAAAAATTGTTTCGCAAAATACGTTTTCTTTACTGGATCGAAAAATTGTCTTTACAATACATGAATCACATTTCCATGATTAGTCATCACTGACAACCGTCTTCAGAACGTTTTAAGGTAACGGGTTATGACCAGTAGAGTTGCCCTTCTTGCATAGAAGGACACTGTTAACACAGTTATGGAAAATAAGCGACTAAAAAATACATGTTGAAAATCCATCTTGATTGTTCCCTTGAAATGAAAAGCTAATTTAGGCCTGAGAACGAAAACCAAAGAAAACTTAAACGGTAATAAGTCTTATCTAGCCTACTAACCAAGGGTTTTCGTAATACCTAAACTGTTTTGGAAAAAAGCGATACTTAAAAGACACCATCAAGAAACATGTCAATAATTTAACCTAGAGGTATTTAATTTGGAGAGTGAACCATTCAACTTAAGGATTAGTTTAAGTGACCCTGTGATATATGTCAGCTGTTTATCTTGACCTGGAGGCGGCATTCTAATCTGTCGACCATGGGGTGTTGTAGCAGTGTCTAAGTGTGAATGGAGTAGCAAGCAAGTACATTACGTTAATCAAAGTTATCTACTTGCAATCCCGCAGACTTTGAGCTAAGAATGCCATAACACTACGTTTCCGAACACTGTTGCCTTTATAGGATTGCTCACATCCGGTGAAAATACCATGCAAGTAATTCTTAAGTGAGGCGGCGCGTGTTTGAACGTGGTGAAGATCATCATTCGTTGAGTACAATCATCTTCAAACACAGACTTCAGTGGTTCAGGAATATATCTCTTAAACAGCCTTCTGTGGCTCATTGATCTAGGCAATGGAATTCCAATAAACAAATCACGGGTACGAACCCCGCTCTACCTATCAACGTAGCCAGATAGTATCATAAGTCCTCATATCATAGGTGTGGATCATTTCCTACTGCAGAAAAGTACATGCAGTGGCTGACTGCATGTCAACTTTTTTCCGATTAAACGATTGCTGGTTCTGAATGAAATTGGAGGAACATGAAAGGTGATCACAGTATAAAGTGTCATAGGATAAAGGAATATGTTGAATTGGCACCTTTTTGATACTTCATATTTATCTGTATGGGGTTTTGTAGGTTGCAAGGTTTGGAACTTGAGACGATAGCAGAAATGTCTCAGGATCAAAGTCAATGGGGATCAGGCTGCCATCTCTTTTGTTTCTCCTATCATTGAAAAGTGGAAACGAATGCTTCATCGAACGTATCTTCCAGACTGCTTATATAATAACTCCACTTTGTTTTCGCTTTTTTATTTTTTTATTTTCACCCCGTTAATATCAGTTTTGTTTTCCTTGTGTTGGTTTATTATTTTGTATGGAGAATTTCTTAGTGCCCATTTTGTACAATGTACAGATAAATAACAATACTACTAAGTATTGAGTTCAAACACCTTAGCGATTTAGGCAAGTAAAAACGCAAAGTCGCTCTAACATAAGGTCTAATAAAATCCTATAGGCGACACTTCACTAACCCTGGACATAAGAACGCTTGAGGACCTTAATGGTATATCTTCCGGTTCAATTTGAACGGCCTCGCGTTTGGCACTCAGACAGTAAATAGCTCCTGGAACGACAGCTGTTGAGTGAATAAATCTTAATTTCCGTCACAGTATATGCTCATCACCCCTTGTTCGTACTCAACAAATATTAATTATCACTTTAACCTGGGTTTTATAAGTGAATTTTAACTGAAATGCTTCTTTAGAACAGTTACGAATATACAAGTGCTCTTACCTACTTCAGATATATAGAACAGGATATCATTGGTACCAGGTAAAGAAATAAGATCTGCGCACAGAAAAACACAATTGTATACTGTATGTGAGCCAGGATCTTCGAATGAAGCATCGTTTACACTTGAAAGGTCCAAAGCCATAATACTAAAGAATATGTAGCACTAAGTGTAAACACAGGACATTCATATACCTACAGAGATACAAGTAATATGATATGGTTACTGTCACCAGGAATATAAACCAATCAGGTCAATAATCATCATGAAGACGTGGTGAAAAAATACTATGATAATGTTGGATACCCTTAAGATGTTTAACAAGAATAGAGATAGTTAGGAACTAATTTAATTGCTAAAAACAAACTTAAGCTAAAATCAGTACACCATAGTCTAGTAAACAAGACCGATAATAGATCAAGAACTACGATAAAACCAGTCGTGAACAAAAATGGACTCTGAAGAAGTAGTGAATTTCCTCCAGCTGCCATAATTCGCATGAATGGAGTGACGGAAAATAATCTTTTTAAAGGCTGAATACAAAAAAGAGGTGTAATATTTTGCATCAGTGTTATAAAAAAGTGAACAGAAAAATACAGAAACAGTGGAATCCATTTTCTGAAACGTTGAATACACTTTTGGATAGTTTTTAATCAACAGATCATTTAGAAACCTGGTACCTATATGATTCAGGCTGAGGATTTTTTCATTCCTGATATTTTAAGCAAACCATCCACCGAAGTTGGCTTTTCGTGGAGTTGTTTATTCGTCAATATTCATGAACAGCCAGACATATAGCGTATCACTCCAAGTTTCCACACCTCATATCAGCACATCAAGTAACAAAGTAAAGAGATAGAGACAGAAGTAGGAAATAAAAATTGGTCAAAAGCAATAGAAAGTAGTGAAAGAGAGGAAGGAGGAAATGTTGAGTTCACTATAGCAACTAAAACGAGAACAATATGTGGACACATCTAGACCACTGAGCCAGATCCCCTACACTCTCCAACCACTGGCTTTTGTTGCGATGTGGACTTCAACCGGTTAGTCTATATACCTAAAAGGCTAAAACTAACAGTAAAACATTAAAGGGCCTGATGCCATATTTTAGTCTGACCGCCTCTAACCTGCCTTTAATCTAAACCGACTTCAGCCAACATTGCGCGACGAAGCAGACGGTGAAAAGCTACGCGCCATAAATTTCTCAGCCACCCCAGCCGATGAAAGCTCATAAACTAATTAACTGAATTTCCTTTCCTCTTCAAGAGCCTATATTTGAGTTGTGTATTACTAACCTGGTGGCACCATAACATACAATCAATGTTACGAAGGCAACGATGGTCAAACACCTGATACCTCATGTCTTCTACCTCCATTGACCATGTCTCACAGCCATACAGGAGAACAGAGCGAACTGTAGCGCAGTACACTAAACCCTAAATAGACAATCAGACAACACGGCGACGCCACAGATGGCGTAAGTTAGCCGAAGTCAGCCAAGCCTTTTGTATCCGTGCAGAGACTTCATCAGCCATTGACCCGCCAGGGCTGCTCCGACTTCCCAGATGAGCAAAGTATTTAACGCACTTGATCATTTCACTCCCTATTGTTAGCCGGGGCACCGTTGAAGACCAATCCCGAAGCAACATCTTGCATTTGACTGGTCAGAAACATACCAAACATTCTCAAATTGCCCTCTAGGTGTCCAGAAGACTCTGCATCTTGTCACCGTTTTCGCCTGACACAAATATGCCACTTCTGTATCGAGATTTACCAAGGATTCTCCTGTAATAAGAGCGATCCCTGTGAAGTCACACGATAGAAGGAATACCTCCATAAGAACTGCGATAAAATTGAATAGAAATGGAGAAGGTGGGCATCCTTGATGAACACCACTAGATGTACATAATTTATCATAGGCTGTAACACGCCCAAGGATGTTTGAATAAAGAGCCTTTAACAGAGTGATGTAGTTAATCAGCACCCCTTTCAGTGAGATGCACTGCCATAAGTCCTCTAGACCGATTGAATTGAATCCCACCTTCAAGTCCAAAAATACAGTCAGTGTTGTGTGTCGGCGATTGTGTATGTGTTCCAAAACATGGCGGTGTGTATATATGGTCGATACCCCCCTCGAACAAGTCTGAAACCTACCTGGTTTTCTCTGGTTTGTCGTTCCCGAGCTCCACTCAAAAGTCTAATGATTATAGAACCTAGAATCTTCGAGACTATGTACGTCAGGCTGGTTCTCATATGGTCGTCACAAGAGAGTTTCACATCCCTCTTGAAGACCGAGACAAACAGTGATTACGATAAGTCATAGGGTGTTACATCCAACACCCTCACATCGGTTAGGAATTCACTCATTTTGACTAAAAATCCTCTACTACCATCCTAAAACACCACCTTCGGTACTGGCTCGTGTGGTTCTTCCTCGTTTTAAATTGCCTACACTTTTCTTTACTTTCGCAAATGTATGGGGTCCTATCTCGACATTTCATTCCAGATCCGACTGGATAACCAGAAACGAAATAGTAGCTGGAGATCAGTTGAAATATTCCTCGAAGTGCTCCGTCTATCGTTCCAGTCGGCTCTCCTGCGAGTAAATGACAGACCCATCTTTTTCCGCTGTAGTCCCACTAACCCTTTTGCCCCGATTCCCTGAATAAATAAGTCTTAAGAGCTTTCTACTGTCATTTATTACCATTTTCTTTTCCACCTTCTTAGCCTTCGGTGCTCGCCACTGTTCGTCATCATTGCATAAACCTTTTGTTAGTCTACATTGGAGCTGCTTTCGCACCTCTGTCATGACGAATGCAAACGCGTTTTAACTGACAGTTTGAAAAACTTTAACTCTAAACCAGTGATGTACATGGGTTTCACCATCTAGGACTGAGGAATGGAGTGTGAACGTATCTTGGACACCGTCAACCATAGGAATGCAACACCTCATGCTGCTCCGCTACCTTGTGTATCACACACTTGTTAAAGGCTCGGGAAATTCTCACTTACGATGACCACATGCTTCAGTTTGGGTGTCCGGGAAATATCACTACCAACATGAATTCTATGGATCAGTATTAACGATGAAGACTACTATTGCTCATCAAATTTTCCTGAACAAATCAATATTGGCGGTGCAATGAACTGTGTATAGTCATTCCATTTTTCCTTATATTGTCGTTATTCTTATTGATGGACTATTTCGCAATTATCATTTTCAAATCCACTTTTATACGCATCTTTAGTCCACTCAGCTGCTAATTACCAAAATTCTATGCTGTCTAAATCGTTTTGAAATGCCGAAGAGCTGCTTCCAAAAAGTTCTTTTAGTGCGATATTTGATCCAACTACTTTGAAACCACGTGAACCACTTAAGCTGGTTACCTTCAACGTTCAGAATTTGATGCAGATTAGACAACAAGAACGATTGACTAGGACTATGGAAAGCCCCGTTATTGATGCATGCTGTACCACAGACACTCGCATACCAAATCTCAGTGAATTGTTTCGGATAACTTCCCCATCTGTAAGCTTAAAAAGAGCATTCAAAGTGCACTCATCTAGGGACCCTGTGGCGGGTTTTGCCATCGTCCCGATTGCCAGGACCGGAACTGCGCTAGTCGACTAGATCACCATTAGCAATAGTATGCGCCACTAGGCTAGAAACTCCGACTGGAGTGAGAAGCAACTGGCGAAGAAACGACCTTTTCTTCATCTCTGCCTATGCCTCAACTGAAAGAAGCCCAGGTGAAGTTATGAATGACTTTTATCATCATTTGAGTGAGACCTGGTCTCTCTGAGCTAAAGACTTGCGACGACTCAGTGTGTTCAATCATCGTTGTCTCCATAGAACTGCTCGTATCCGGTAGCAACACTATGTAATTTATTGAGGTACGACACCGTGTGTTTGGGTATGGGGACAGTCATGCAATAAGTGAAGTCATCTGGAAACATCGGCTTTGGTGATCTGAACATGTGTTACGCATGTCGTCCCAACGGCTTTCACGTCGGTTATTGTTTGTTAACTCTGGGACTGGATGAAAAAAGCAGAGGGTGGTCAGTGTATGACGTGGTGCCGTAGGATGAAGGACAGTTGTATCGAGTTAACATCTGTTGGGTGGGACCCCAGAGATCACGCAAGTGGCAACTGGTATCTTACTCGACTACCCTTCTAATCATTCCATTCTTATTGTGTTTTATTTTTATCCACTTCCCTTTGCTTTATGTTTTTATAATGCTGTTACATTGAAAGTGTAATCTTACCGTGATTTAACAATTTAGTTTTTGCTGTGCATAATGCGACGATAGCCCCGGTTTTCACTAAGAGTATTCTCTCGAGCTTCCGGTTCGATAAGTTTAGCCTACTTCTACGTACTTTTTGTTCATACTAGGATAACAAGGCTTTACCTCTGTTCCAGTTTTGGTTTGATCTGATAACGTTAAGGTTACTACTCTTTTTCAAGTTTTCCAGAGTTTTTCTGTTGATTTCTTTTCTTTTTACCCCTCTTATACTTATAACGAAAATGGTGGCCAAACAGATGTGCAAGAGGCGGGGCTGTCATCAACCTGTTCAGGTGGACATGCAATGTGACACATGCGACGGATGGTCCCATGGTGCTTGGACTGACCTAACGCAAGCTGAGTACACCAAACTCAGCAAGCCTGGCCGCAAATAGCATTGCTGGGTGTGTAGATCTGCACTAGACGATGTTCTTGAGAACATCATCGGCATGTTATCAGAATTAAAAAACAGACTGAAAGTAGACCATTAAAAGGCGAAGCTGGAAAACTCAAAAGCAGTGCCTAGGCACGAGGGTTATGGAGTTAGAAAATCGACTAGCGGAAAAAGTGCTCAAGTTACTCGACAAGAGCAAGGGTCTAGTTTGACGGAGGACATGATGCACCTCAGTAGTGCAATAACATCAACTGTCCTACAATCCTTCACTCAAATTTTGTTATCAACAGATGAGATGCAAAATGAAACGGTCATACCAAACGAGGATGCTCAAGATGGAGGATAGGTAACCATTGTACGAAATAAAAACAGTTGAGTTTCAACTCGTCAAACCGATCGGGTCTTGGAAGGTGAGAAACAGGGAACAAACCCAGGCATGGTAATCCGGAAATCGGGAAGGCTAAAC